TGCCTGGAGTGGATGAACCTGGAACAGTGCCTGAGGTCTCAGTGCCTGGAACAGACGTGCCTGGAGTAGATGAACCTGGAACAGAAGTGCCTGGAGTGGATGAACCTGGAACAGTGCCTGAGGTCTCAGTGCCGGGAACAGAAGTGCCTGGAGTAGATGAACCTGGAACAGAAGTGCCTGGAGTGGATGAACCTGGAACAGTGCCTGAGGTCTCGGTCCCGGGAACAGAAGTACCTGGAGTGGATGAACCTGGAACAGTGCCTGAGGTCTCGGTGCCGGGAACAGAAGTGCCTGGGACGGAACTACCCGGTGTTGTTGTAGTGGAACATTGAGTAGTCTTACATCTTGACTTGGTCCAACAACAATTGTCACCACACTTGATGATAGTCACACAGTGGGTAGGCTTACACGTGGTGGTTTGTGTTGAAAAGGTAGTTTCAGAAGTAATGGTCACAGTACTTGGAATAGATGATTCTGGTGTAGTGCTGGATGATTCAGTGCCGGGAACAGTTGTGCCAGATGATTCAGTACCTGGGACAGTTGTACCAGATGATTCAGTGCCTGGAACAGTTGTGCCAGATGATTCAGTACCTGGGACAGTAGAACCTGATGATTCAGTACCTGGAACAGTTGTGCCAGATGATTCAGTACCTGGGATAGTTGTGCCAGATGATTCAGTACCTGGGACAGTAGAACCTGAAGATTCAGTACCTGGGACAGTTGTGCCAGATGATTCAGTACCTGGAACAGTTGTGCCAGATGATTCAGTACCTGGAACAGTTGTACCAGATGATTCAGTACCTGGAACAGTAGAACCTGAGGATTCAGTTCCTGGAACAGTAGACCCTGACGATTCAGTACCTGGAACAGTTGTGCCAGATGATTCAGTACCTGGAACAGTTGTGCCAGATGATTCAGTGCCTGGGACAGTTGTGCCAGATGATTCAGTGCCGGGAACAGTTGTACCAGATGATTCAGTACCTGGAACAGTAGAACCTGAGGATTCAGTTCCTGGAACAGTAGACCCTGAAGATTCAGTACCTGGAACAGTAGACCCTGAAGATTCAGTACCTGGGACAGTAGAACCTGATGATTCAGTACCTGGGATAGTTGTGCCAGATGATTCAGTACCTGGAACAGT